ACAAAATAATGAGCTGTTGATGAAAAACCATGAATCTAGACCCACGGGATCTACTGCGGTCCCTGAAATAAATGCTGTAATATCTAGACAGTGAACTGGAAATGAAAACAGCCAAACATATATGCGTGGATATACCTCGGGACGTGGCCGTGGTCGTGGACGTGGACGTGGTCGTGGCTGTGGCCATATGGTCCAGATCGCCGATTTAGCCAAATCCACAAATTTCACCGAGGATATAACTCGGGCCGAGAATATAATTGTGGACGAGGCCGTAACTATGCCCAAAATTTTGAAAGGGGGAGATATTTCCAGCCAAAATTTGAACAGAACAATGTGACGGAGAATAATGATGAAAAGACATGTTATCGATGTGCAAGGACGGGACATTGGGCGCGAAATTGTCGTGCTCCGAGACACGTTGTTGATAATTATAACAATCCCCAGAAATCAAAAGATCAGAATATAGAAACCAATTTTATGGTTGGGGAACCCTCTGAAAATGATTCAACACATGTGGATGATGACTATGGCATCAGTGACATATTGAACCTGGATTTTGTCGATGCGGTAATTGAAGACAGAGCTAGAAATGACCAAGAGAATAACTGATGATCATGTTTTTTTTATTGCTTTCTAAGTTTTGTTGTATTTGTGTGCTTTTATCTGTATTTCGACTTTAATCAATAATAAATGTTGTTTTCTTTTAGATCATGGATCTATCTCGAATCCAAAATGGAGATATATGACTTGCAGATTGTGCCACTACTCATACTATACTCAAGGACAGAAAATATTTCGTCAACTTGAAATTAAATAAAGCAAAAGTAAACACAATATCTGAAAATGCAAAGATAATTGAGGGTTCTGGAAAAAGTCATATTTTTTTATGATGGGAGGTACAAAATTTACATTGAATGATGCATTATTCTCCCCAAAATCAACAAGAAACTTGTTGAGTTTTAAAGATATCCGAATAAACGGATACCACGTTGAAACAATGAATAAAGGGGGAGTTGAATATCTTTGCATTACCTCAAATATTGCGGGAAATAAATGTGTTTTGGAGAAATTACCATCTTTATCCTCGGGCTTATACTACACCCGCATTCATATTATTGAGACTTATGCTGCAACAAATTCACAGGCGAATGAAATGTTTAAACTTTGGCATGATCGACTTGGTCATCCTGGCTCGATAATGATGCGAAGAATTATTGAAAATTCTAGTAGACATCCATTAAAAAATCAGAGGATATTGCAAACACATGAATTGACATGTGCCTCATGTTCTCAAGGGAAATTGATAATGAGACCATCACATACTAAAGTCGGACATGAATCACCATTATTTTTGGAAAGGATTCATGGTGATATATGTGGACCTATTCATCCATCTTGTGGTCCATTCAGATATTTTATGGTGTTAATCGATGCCTCTAGTAGATGGTCTCACGTGAGTTTGTTATCCACTAGAAATGTGGTATTTGCTAAATTACTTGCCCAACTTATTAAATTAAGGGCTCAATTCCCAGATTATATTATCAAAAGAGTCAGACTTGACAATGCTGGAGAGTTTACATCTCAAGCATTTAATGATTATTGTATGACAGTGGGAATTGATGCTGAACATCCAGTTGCACATGTTCACACTCAAAATGGTCTAGCAGAATCATTGATTAAACGACTGCAGCTTATAGCTAGACCATTGATAATGAGGACAAAACTCCCCACTTCAATATGGGGACATGTTGTTCTGCATGCAGATAATCTAATTCGCATAAGACCAAGTGCACACCATACATACTCGCCGTTACAGTTGGCATATGGTAAAGAACCAAATATTGCGCACATAAGAGTTTTTGGTTTTGCAGTGTATGTACCAATTGCTCCGCCCCAACGTATAAAAATGGGGCCTCAAAGAAGGTTGGGAATATATGTTGGTTATGAATCTCCATCAATAATCAAATACCTTGAACCAAAAACAGGTGATGTTTTTACAGGTCGGTTTGATGATTGTCATTTTAATGAAGAATTATTCCCCCCTTTAGGTGGGAATGAAAAGTCAATTGAAAGAAATATTGAATGGAGAACATCATCACTATCATACCTTGATCCTCCCACCAAACAAAGAGAGCAAGAAGTTCAAAAGATCATACATTTGCAAAATATTACAAATCAATTGCCAGATGCATTTACTGACACAAAAAGGGTGACAAAATCACATGTTGCAGCTACAAATGCCCCTGCTCGAATTGAGATTTCAAAAGAAATGGCAAATGACGATATTACAAATGAATTAAAGACACGCTTGAAACGAGGAAGACCAGTGGGGTCTAAAGATAAGAATCCTCGAAAGAAAAGAGAAATTCAAGATTCGAATTTGAAAACGAATCATGATGATGGAAAAATTTCGGGACAAAATGAAAATATTGAAATCTCCATCAATTACGTAAATAATGAGAAACTTTGGAAGTGTGATGAGATCATTGATAATGCATTCGAATATATGGCATCACAAGAAATTGACAAAGAAGTTGAGGATCCTGAACCAAAATATATGATTGAATGTCAGAAAAGACATGATTGGGACAAGTGGAAAGGTGTTGTTCAAGCCGAGTTAGATTCACTTAATAAACGAAAAGTTTTTGGACCTATTACCATTATACCCAAGGACATAAAACCTATTGGATACATATGGGTTTTTGTCCGAAAAAGAAATAAGAAAAATGAGATCACAAGATATAAGCTCGTCATGTAGCACAGGGATTCTCCCAGAGGCCTGGGATCGATTATGATGAAACATATTCCCATGTTATGGATGCATTTACTTTCAGATACTTGATTAGTTTAGCCATACATGAAAATCTTGAGATGCGTCTCATGGATGTTGTGACTGCTTACTTATATGGATCGTTAGACGCTGACATTTATATGAAAATTCCAGAAGGAATTAGAATACCCGAAGCACTAAAGTCCAAACCTAAAGAGTTATGTGCGATAAAACTGCAAAGATCATTGTATGGCTTGAAACAATCCGGGCGTATGTGGTATAATTGTTTGAGTGAACAATGACTAAAACGGGGATACATAAATAATCAAATATGCCCGTGTGTTTTTATAAAAAAAATCACAAGATGGAGTTGTGATAATTGTTGTCTATGTCGATGATCTTAATATTATTGGGACCACAAATGAAATCCAAGAAGCAGTCACTTTACTGAAAGGCGAGTTTGAAATGAAAGATCTCGGACAAACTAAATATTGTCTCGGCTTACAAATAGAACGAGTCCAAAATGGGATATTTTGTCCCTCAATCTAATTACACTAAAAGAATATTGAAACAATTCAATATGGACAAGGCTAATCCACTTAGTACCCCAATGGTCAATCGAACATTGGATGTTGAAAATGATCGATTTCGACCTTGTGAAGAAGATGAAGAAATACTTGGTCCTGAAATACCATATATAAGTGCAATAGGAGCTCTTAGGTATCTTGCTAATTGCACCACACCTGATATATCTTTTGCTACCAACTTATTAGCAAGATATAACTCAGCACCTACGAGAAGACATTGGAATGTAATCAAGCATATATTTCGTTATCTCCAAGGGACAATCGATTTGGGATTGTTTTACTACAAATGATAAAAAACATGAAATGGTCGATTTTGCAGATGCAGGATATCTATCAGACTCCCATAAAGCAAGATCTCAAACTGGCTACGTTTTAACGATTGGTGGAACTGCATTTTCTTGGCGTTCCTAGAAACAAACATTAGTTGCGACGTCTTCAAACCATGCTGAAATCATTGCACTTCATGAAGCAACTAGGGAAAGTATCTGGCTCAGAAACATGACTCAACATATTGAACAAGCCAGTGGACTATCGAATAATAAAGACCCGACGGTGATATTCGAAGACAATGCAGCATGTGTTGCTCAAACCAAAGAAGGATACATTAAGAGTGACCGAACTAAGCATATCCCGCCAAAGTTCTTCTCATATGGGCAAGAGCGTGAAAGGAACAAACAAATCAAAGTTCAATACGTTCGATCAAGCGATAATGCAGCAGATTTATTTACGAAGGCACTTCCGACGACAATATTTCGAAAGCACGTACATAATATTGGAATGAGACATCTTCGGGATTTGCACAGATGATAACTCGAGGGAGAGTATGTGCGGCTGTACTCTTTTTTCCTTATCTCGATTTTTTCCCACAGGGTTTTTCCAGATAGGTTTTTAACGAGGCAGCATAAACGCACAGTTAATAGTGGTAATTCCAAGGGGGAGTGTTATAAACAAGTGGAATTTTTCCACTATTAACCATCTTATCATTTGAATTATTGTATTAGTATATGTATTGAAGTGTGTGTCATTATATGATTAAAGGCCTTAACATTTGTCTATAAAAGGGCCATAAGGGAGTGTAATGTTTGTACGAAAAAGAAAAAGAAGAAAAGCATCTTGTAACTTAGATTTGGTTTTTATACTGTGTTCTTTATCTTCCCCGCATTTTATAACAGTTTATTGTTTTTTTTTTTCTTTAAATCAATTATTTTCCGCTTGTGAGACTCTCTCTGGTTTGTTACATGGACAAAATAATGTACAAAATACCATAGGCCAATATAAGAATTTAGAGCTAAGTTTCTGTTCTTATTGCTTAATCATTTCTTCTTTCATCAATAATCTCTTCATTGAAAAGAAACGAAGGTGAAAACAGAAACATATGGATATATATATTAATCCTGCCATTTATGAGTCTCTCAAAATCAGAACAATACTCCAAATTCTTCCCACTGGAAAACTAAAAACCACACACTAGCTTGTCTCTACATATACTATCACAAGTTCACAACATAAATAACTTGATGTAACCGAGTATCAAACTCCAACAACTCAGAAAAACATTTCTCACTATTTCCCCATCGATACAACTCTGTTTTCACCAGCTTCACGCCAGCCGCCTTGGCTTACGAACGCTCAACAGCCTCACATCATCTACCACGGGCCCACACAGCGATGCCAAGTCGTCGCTTCTCATGTGGTAGTACGTGCTGAGGAACATGACCCGA